AAGAACTAGAATGTGCTGGTGGCTCCGATTAATGTCAAAAATAAGAAATCAAATGCCGGTTGATCCAACCCCAACCGCACCTCGTACAGTTGAATCAATATCATCGATCTTAACGACTTCAGGTGTGATTATCTTCTAAATAATCATCTGCCCAATTCTATCACCCGATTTCACTTCAAAATCAATATCAGATCGGTTAAATGAGACCAGATCTCGAAGCTACAAATAGATGAGTTGTAATCTATAAGAACACAACTCTAGTATAGTATATAAAAATCAATCAAAGAAGGAATGAATGTACTTTTCGAAACCAAAAGATCTCAAGAATCAATTTTTTAGTCAAATTAGGTCATAACGACAACAACAATTGATTACTGAATTCGCTTGAAGCATAGATTCAACTAGCTCTTAAAGTACCTAAATCAGATTAAAGAAGAAAAATACCTCAGTTTACTAGAACTTCCCCGATAGTTTTGGTGAAGTCAATATCTCCTGGTATTTAACAACCAAAAAGGGGAAATGGTTGCAACCAATCCAAAATTGTATGGTGCAAAAAACCATCTCTTTACCTGGTTACTTGTACCAGTGAAATCTTTACTATCATGTTGAGCCAAGAAATGAATCGAACTCTTATCAAACCCTATACACTTTTGGCAAAAGCTGGAAGAGAGGCGAAACATGGCTGTGAGAAGAACGTATACTGAATTTGGGGCACCAACAGGTAGATCGTCTATTACCAGATCCCAAAAATTTGTTGGGTCGTTTATTTCACCTCCTACTTCCTGACACCATTCTTTATATTTAAACATGTACACATCTAAGGAAATTTGTCGGAGTAGAGGTCTTTGGTTGTTATAGATTAGCGGAGGTGGTTTTGGTTATAGATTAGAGGAGGTGATGTTGGTTATAGATTAGAGGAGGTGAACACGGGATGACTGATGAGAGAGAGAGAGAGGCCCTTTTTATTTTTTAATTACTGAAATAAATAAAATAATTTTTAGATTTAAAAAAATGAAAGAAAAATACAAAATAAATATCACAAGGGTATTACAGTCATTTCAGTTTACTAAGGGACCAAATCTGCAACGAAACTAGTCCAAAAGGAGCACGAAGCCAAAAAAAAATCGAGGTTTTAACTAAACCTCGAAAAAAAATACATACCACAAGGACCATTTTTACAGTTTTGTCTAAAATATAATAATTTAACAATAAAAATGATTAAAACTGAAAATTTGATTTAAAACTTTTTCTTTCTAGTCAAAGTTGTCGACTTGGATGCAATTTGCGGTAAAAGCAATAATTATATTTAGGTGTGCCAATTCTTGCTACGGAGTACTATGATATTGCTAATTAATATGTGCCAATTGCAAGTGATGTCATCCTAGCTAAATGATGCACCGGATTTTATATTTATTTGGGGCATGATGTTGAGAGTTTGATTCCCTTAAACTACCTCTTGTAGTGCAACATGTGATAATTTTTTCCTAGAAATCCCTATGGGGGCTGGGTTTGCCTTGTAAAGAAGCTCGAACGCGAGGTGCTCGTTGAAATATTGCGAGTAAACTTCCACTTAATTGAAATATTATGAGTAGACTTTCACTTAATTCGTTTACGGTTTCCAAAAAAAAACTTGCCTATTAACATGGCAAATTCTGACTACGGAGTACTAGATAGTAGATACACCAATAAGTCTTTCCATTTCACAATCAATATTCAATAACTAATTGTGAGAGTCATGTATTACATTGGTTAATTTTTTTAAAAAAAATTAAATATAAATGTCAAAATATTTGAGAACTTTGAATTTATAAGAAAATAAGATAAATAATGATTTATTATAATGTAAATGTTTTTTATCTTTTAAATTTAAACAAATCTATATATCTTATAAATCAAATATTTTTCCTTGAACCTCATGTATTTGAAACTCTCAAGACTAAATAAAGAAAAGAAACTAATAAGCTTTAATTTTGGGAATTTTTTAAATTTATAAGAAAATAAGAAAAGTAATGAATTATTATAATGAAAATGTTTTTTATCTTTTAAATTTAAATAAATAATTTAAATAAATAAAAAAACTAATGAGCTTTAATTTTGGGAATTTTGAAATTAAAAGACAAGTTCATTAATGAAATTTATATCAATTTATTATTACATTTATTGTAATTATTACATTAAAATATTATGTAAAATTTAATAAAATAGAAAAACTCATAAAAAATGACATGTGAAAAAATTTTCAAAATAACCACAACATGAGTTTAATTAAAAGAAAAACTAAATACAAAATTCTAAACATTTGAGAAGTTTGTATTAATAAGAAAATTGAGAAAATATTGAATTATAAAAATTAAAGTGTTTTTTTTTCTCATTTAAATTTAAACAAATAATTTAGATAAATAAATAAAGAAAATTAATAAATCTTTAATTTAGTAATTTTAAAAAAAGAAGGAAAGTTCATTAATGAAATTGATATGCATTTATTATTTGAATTAAATACTATCTGAAATTTAATAAATCAAAAAACCATAAAATGACATGTGGAATAAAATTTAATTTAAAAAATCCACAAAATTACATGTGACAAAATAAATGAGAATGTGACATGTGACAAAAAGATCTTTATTTATTAGGGAACATGATACATCTTTAATATTATTAAAAGAGAACCCTTAATTCATCAATGAAGCAATCAGGGTCTTTGATTGTATTTCAATGCTTTGTTTTTCACCCTTAGATCAAATTGCTGACATCATCTTCTCCAAATAGAATTCAAACACAATTATATTTAATTATAAAATCTTTAATAATTATAGAATATTTAAATTCAGCAATTATGTTATCAATTAAAGCATATCATTATATTTATATACCAGATATCAGTTTCTCTAATCAATATTGTTCCTAATTTAACTTCCTTATTTATAGCTTTTTGCTTCAAAATTCAAATCCGTTTAGCTTTTTTTTTTTTTTTTGAAAAATCTCATTAAATAAGCATATCAATAATTCGGTTATTAACATATAAAATCTAATCTAATCCCATTAAATCAGCAAACTATTTGGGAGTTAAAATTAAATCAATATTATTCATAATTTATCTCACAGTATATCCTACATAAAAAATGAATCAGTTTGAGATATTGGTTTGAATTTTAAAACTCATTAAATAAGCAAGTCAATTAATTTGAAATTTTGAATCAATATAACTGATATCTTAATTTTATTTCCAAATGAATAGCCGAAAATCTCCAATATAATACCTTAGGATCCCAATTTTTCGGAAGATGATATTTTTTTACTTTTCAAAATTTTGTGTCAAATTTTACTTTATAATGTCATTTTATATTGTATATTAATTTATTTTTTTGGTTTTTATAGAAGCAAACAAATAAATGTAACACTCTAGGATGAGTATGCACAACAGTTTGCTAACTATTTGAAAAATAACAAACAAACTCCACAATACAGTTTGTTCATTACTCTGATTCACAACTTACACCTTAAAAAATTTCAAAATATTATTCTTTCTTTTACTACATTTATACTAACTTCATTATGCATCGTTTCAGAACGGTTCTCCGTCACAATTGTTTCACCACGACTAGGATCTTTATCAATGATCCTATTTTAAAGCAACAAAAATAACATCTTCTTTATTGTTAAGATTTCTTGCCAAAGTAAGTCCAGAAAGCACATATGCTAATTGTAGCAATGCTTTGTCCTCCATCCTCTACTCTGCAAATGACGATTTCCTTCATAAGTTTGATTTTCATGTTATTGCTGATCTCCAACAAGTAGATGAGGTTTATATACTTAACTTCCATTTATGAAATATACATTATGTTAAATAGTTTTTGGATTATTTTTACCCTCATATTTCATTTTACTTTTTTATTATATAATTTAAACTTATATCAATATTTATCATAAAAAAATATTGATTGTTGTCGGTACGATTAAGCATGTGTGTACTCTATAGTTCTTTCATGTCACAACAATAGGGCAGAAAGAGGTGTTAGTGACCATTAAAGATGAAAATGTAAGCTATAATTTAAGAATATTATATAAAGTGTAAATTGTAGATTTGTGATATTTATTTCTATGAAAAATATGTTGTTTGATTGGTAGGTTACATATCTGAGATTTATTATTTATTTATTATTTTTTTTTTGTAATTTGATTTTGACAAGTTTGATCTAAATTTGATAATTGAAGCATGTATGAAAGATATGTGCTAACGATTTTGAATTTATAATGCCCTCCAGAAACCAACCATAGTCTCATAGACTGCTCCCTCATATCTCAGTAGTTCGTCGTATTTCCCCAAATTCAGCTACAAGAAGTTATTGATGCACTTTTTGAATCAATCCATTAAAATGAATTTCATTTGTTAGTTGGATGTAGTGACCAAAATGCAAGATTTGTGAAAGTTCATTATAATTTATTAGTGTTAACCTTTAACAAATTATGAAACTAATATTATTTTTTGTTCATAACATGTTTTTTTTGTAATAATTTCTTTAAACGAAAGATATGTATATGTGATTGGGCGTAGCCTGAAAAATCATATTTTAATTCTTATAAGGAAAAAATACTTTAGAAATTGACCAAATTACATGTTTGAATTTGATGTTTATGGTTATGGCAATGCACTTTAATTGTAATGTTTATCGAATTTCCTTGTAGAATATAAGGCTGTTGGTACATATAACAACTTATTGTTGCTTTTGGTTTTACAGGGCCAATATGAAAAAAGCCATGCGAGCCTCCATGGGGGTTGGTACACCGAACATAGTCAATTCATAAAGCTACTACACTATGTTTTAATCAAGGAGTCACATCATATTGTGATAAAACAAAGATCATGTGGATCATTTATGTTAAAAATTACTGTATTAAAAAACCAAATTGCTCTAATATAAATATTTAATATTTTTATTTAACAAGTTTGGTTCAAAACTCTAAAATTGAATCCAACTAACATTTTTTTATTAAAATTTCACCTAAGACAATGCCACTTATTAATGTGATATATATTTAATTTATGTTCCCTGCGTTTAACGCGGGTCATAATCTAGTTTATTAATAAAGGACAAACACATCTAATTATTTTTTTGTTTATTTATTTTTTTTGTTAAGAAAGCGAAATAAGCAATAACACAAACAACAAATCGGCTTTGATACCTCAAAGTTCTACTCACCGACTCCAAAAATGTTCCTTACGTGTTGAACGAAGGCAACTATCTTTACCGACTCAGGAAGAACATTAGACACGCTCTCCTTGTTCTGAAAGCACCTTTTAGCCCAAGCAATCAATTTTGGGCAGTCTTGTTCTACGTTCAATTCCCCAAACGTTTCATAGGCTTGAAACCATGCATAAAATGGGATCAAAGACACATCAACGTAGCCGAAACTGTCACCTCCAAAATAAGGTTTGTCTCCAAGCTCTCCTTCAATCAGTTTAAGGGAATCTATGAACTCTTTCCTAGCTGTCTCATGTTCTTCCCCTTTTGCTTTGTACACCAAAATCCTCCCATTGTGGTATACCTGAATTTCCATACACAAATTAAGTTAGACAAACGATTCGATAATCTAAGACCATTTCCATCGTATATGGAGGGATTACAAAGTATTCCTCCTCTTTGGATAATTTACACAATCAAGACAAGAAAACACCCAGAACGTAGTTCATGACTAGTTAATGAACGTCTTGTGATTTTTTTACCTTCAATGTTACAGCTTCTTAAAACTCCTATCCTATGCGCGCAATACTATCTATGATGATGTATATAGGTAGATATGGCTTGAAACTAGTCAAAAACTTTCAGCTGATTTGAGACAACCAAGATGGAAATATTTGCCATTATCTTCGAGGGTGAATCAAGAACAGTCCAAACGTAATAGTAATAGACAATAGTATATCAAAACAAAGTCAAGGAAAAGTCAAAGAGTTACCTTCTCAATAAAGTCGACCAAAAACCTCGCCCGAGCTCTGCCGTAAGTATCAGAAGGAAGCAATGGAGCTTTATCTTTCCATACTTCATCAATATACTCAACGATGATGTTTGACTCGCAGATCGGTTTGCCGTTGTGAATTAGGACCGGAATTTTCTTGTGAATCGGGTTCATCTCCAAGAGAAGCTGACTCTTGTTTCTCAAATCTTCTTCTCTGTATTCGTATGAAACGCCCTTTTCAGCAAGTGCTATCCTGACCCTCATCCCATACATGCTTGCCCAGAAATCTAGGAGAATAACTTCTTGTTTCGCCATCTTTGGCTACTTGGGTTCTTGGCGATATTCAGTTAGTGGGTTCTTGACTTCTTGGTGATATTCAGTTCTTCACTAATCACTGTGTGTTTGTGGGAACGGAAATGGAAATGGAAATGGAAATGGAAGTGAGTAAATAAACGATGCGGGGCGAAGTTTCTTTAAAGGTGATTGTAGTCTATTTCTAACCCGCTAGCTCCACGTGGTCTTATATAAGCGAAATTCGATTTGACTGGTCGTATTTGTTTTTTATTGAGAAATTAAATATCTCAATCAAATTTATATTACCATCTAAAATATATAGGAAATCTAAAATATACAGGAAGATAGTAAAAAAAATGAGAAGATATTTAATTTATTATTTTTTATTTATTAAAAGAGAATAGAAAAAACTAACCTAGATACTTGATTTGCTACAAAATATCTCAAACTTTGTTAATGCCTCGAATTAGCCACGTATTGTTAGAGTTTTTTTATCATAATAGAACGATGGAAAAAATATTTACCATTTTAGTATTTTTTTAAAAATATTTATCAAATGGTATTACCTTAATTTGAAAACTAATATTATTGTTTTTTTAAATACGTTTCTTTTGATTATCCTGGAACGAGACGTCGAACAAAAAAGAAAAAAAAAACGAAATCGCAAACTAGGGCTCCACTCATTGTCGCTCCTCCACCGATCATCGACCACATGCGGCCTCTTCCACCCGTCGTCAGCAACCTGCAACCTCCTCCACCATCGCTTCATTCAAGGTATGCAAAACTTTTATCGATTTTGATTCTTCCTCCTCGTTTAGGATGAATTGTTGTTTCTCGATTCCGATTCTTCAGTTTTCTGTTTAATTTTTGCTTCTCGTTAGGACAAATTGTTGATCAATTTTTGCTTTCGTTTAATTTTTTTGTAGATGAATTTTATCACAACTTTTTTTTAATCTTTTTGTAGATGGATTGATTGCAAACATGTTATTATGTTTCTTTTTTCTTGTTACAACAGATTGGTATGATCATTTTTTGATCAGTTTTTGCTTGTTTTTGTTTGTTTTGTAGATAAATTTTATTATAGCCATGATTGACAATGATGATTTTTCTATAATCTCTCAAGCTGCTGTTGTGACTAATGTGATGAATATAAACAATGAAGTTGAGTTAAATGAAATATTGGAAGATGAAATTGGAGATGAAGATGACGAGGAAGCATCTTTTGACATTTAATGAAGACAAAATTGCAAAAATGGTCCCTGTGGTATGCATTTTTCTGGGGTTTTAGTCAAAACCACGACTTTTTTGGATTGGTGGTTCTTTTGAGCTAGTTTCGTTGCGTTTTTGGTCCCTCGAAATAATGAAATGACTATAATACCCTTAGGGTATTTATTTTTCATTTTTCTTTCAATTTTTTAAATTTAATAGTTATTTTAATTATTAAAAAAAGAGGGGACCACCTCTCTCTATATATAATAAAAAACACACTCCTCTTCACTTGTTCTTCCTCTCATCGATCCGGATCCACTTTTCTGAATCTATACATAAATATCGATCATAACTCAATCATAAACACATAAACAAAAACTAAATATGAGCTAAATGGTATTTCCAGCAATCCGATTACAGCAATGCCTGTTCCTTCCCAAGAAACCCGTTGTTCTAATTCCTCCATAACTCGACCTCAGACTATCAACACAGATCTTAACAGTCGGCTATACATCCTCAGGCGAAATGCTCTCAATTATCTCTGTTGAGAAATTCTCCTGTTGCAGAAACCCTTCACAAGGCTCCGGTTCCGGTTTCACAACGCTCTGGTGGGTTTGGTTCTTTTCGTGGTCCATCATCATCTTCCTCAACCACCTGCAACTTTGATTTTTGATTTAGGGTATGATCAGTTCTTGAACACATAACAGGTGCATCTCGATTTATCCTTTTACCCCTGAATCAATCTGAGCAGATCACCAGAATACCTTTTAAGATCTCACCGGAGAGGTTACCACCGAATGAAGATGAAGCAGCTGCTAGCAATGGAGGAGTGATGTTTTTTATTGTCTTCTATCCACTCCTCTCGTATATGTCTCGTCTTCCAGGTCCAAATCAACGACCCTCTCTGATGTCGTAATCCCTTTCTTCATCTTGGACTTACATCCCCTCTCACCGCCTCCATCTGAAATCACCCATCAAGAACCCTCTGTACTTTCATTCGTCACCTGCAGATCACACAGATCCTCCATCTCCCCCTTTAGCTCTATCAATAAAAAAACCGAATCGAGTCCCAAAACATTTCTCTTTCCTTTTGATAAACCCCAACACACCACCAATTTCGTTACTTTCGTATCAACCCTTTTGCTAATCTCATTTTTAATGGCTTTGAGTTATAGGTGAGGTGGGGAGAAGAAGATACGTGGGTTTTTCTTAGCTGGAGAGAGAGAGAGAGAGAGAGAGAGAGAGAGAGAGAGAGAGAGAGAGAGAGAGAGAGAGAGAGAGAGATGTGGGCCCAATAATTAATTATTTTCTTTTTCATTTAAATTAAATAGAAAAAAACATAAAAAATGAATCAGAAGGACATTACAGTCATTTCAGTTTATCGAGGGACCAAATCCGCAACGAAACTAGCTCAAAAGGACCACTAATCCAAAAAAATCGGAGTTTGGACTAAAACCCAAAAAAAAATGAATACCACAGGGACCATTTTTGCAATTTTGTCTTTAATGAATTACTTCCAAATTTAGAACTATTACGGAATAAAAAAGACGGTCATCGTTTAACAAGATTAAAAAATAGTGTGGATAATAAAGAATGAAGAAATGCCAATTTTTGTGGAATTTGTAGGCAACCGGGTCATAATCGAAAACGATGTCCGTCTATGCCAAGGTAATTAAAAAGAAAATATTTTTATGGTATTGTTTTAGTTATTCTTTTTTTTTTTCTTTCTTTCTTTCTTACGAGTAAAGATTTGTTACCGGTTCAAGTTGAAGCTAATTGTAATGTTTTTTTTTTGTAACAAACTATGTTGGAGTTTTTTTTTGTAACAAACAACGTTAAGTTTTTTTACTTTAAAAACATTGTATGTTTGATGTTAGAGTTTTTGCACCTTAAAATATATTATAATTACTAAAATTTGATGGTCAAATGTTTGAAAAAAGAAAAATGGATATTTAAAGTAAAAAAAAGAAAACTATTATTTAAAAAAATAGTAAAAAAGGTATAAAAAAAACTGAAATAAAAGTTGCTATTTAAAAAATAAATAAATAAACAGTGAAAATATGGAATAAAAGAGAAAGTGAGAAAAATAGGATATTTAAAATTAATAAAAAAACATTAAAGAAACAAAGTAAAGAAAAATGAAAAAAAAAATACTATTTTGATAAATATTTTTAAAAATACACTAAAATGATAAATAATTTTTTCAATCACCATTTTACGGTCAAAAACTCCATATCGTGAACCATTTGGCCTACAATACCATAGCTCACACTCAAACTCTCTTTGATTATCTTTCTTTGTCACGCTATTAAATTCCCCCTTCTATATTTTTGGTGTTTGCATTCACTTTTAGAAACATATATGATCGATATAACCAATAAAATGGATCTAATTCACAAATCCAACTCAAATCCAACTCAAAACCAATGGTTAGATTAAAATTTTCAACTCACATAAATTAAATAAGTTATGTATGGATTGAAATTCTCAATTCGTTTTTAATCCGTCGACTCTATAAAATATTATTTTTATTTTTATTGTATATTTAGTTTAATGTTCATTATTATTATTATTCAATGAGTTATATGTAAACAAAGGCAACTCTAATTCTAATTTCTAAACATGTGAACGTATTTTTTTTCTCATAATTTAAAAAAATATGTATCTAAACATGTGAACGTATTTTTAAATGGGTCAACACAACACATGTTCAACCAATGTTTTTGATAGGTTGAGTTGAAAAAAAAAATAAACAATTCAATTCGATGTCAATCCATTTATTTAGTAGGCTAAGTTGGATGGAAAATATCAATCCGTTTAACAAGGGAAATTAAGTTTTTTTTTTTTGAAACGACAAATCTAACATACTCCTAAACTACACCTTAAATTCACTATTGTCCACGACGAGACTTAAACCCTCAACCTCAAGGAGGGATGACAACACCGGATACTACTGGGCTAGAAACTCTTTGGTGCAAATTAAGTAATCTAATTATTTTTTAACATGTATTTGAAGAAAATAACAAATTTTTTTTAGCAAAAATAACCACTTAATCCGGAATGCCTATTCCTAACCAAGAAAAAATACTTTTTTTTGACTGATTTCGGAACGGTGTTGCGGATTCCGGGCCAACATTCCGGACTAAAATTTTGGATTTCGATTCCGGGAAAAAAAAAACAAAAAAAAACTCTGAAATTTCAAGATCAAGTCCAAAATCCGAAGAACAATTCTAAAATTTCGAGAAAAAAAAATTGCTTTTTTTACTTAAAATTAACAAAAAGTTAAACAAACGTGGTAATGTGAATTATATACGATATTAATATATAAAATTAGACATTTATTAAAAAACGATGATATCAAACATTTTGAAATGTAGTATTCGGAATCCCAAAAAACGATAAAAATATTTTTTTGAAAATAAAAAAAATAATAATGAAAAAAAACTTCAAAATATAAACAATACTCCGGAATTAGGCATTGTGGGGAAAGCAGTTATTTTTCAAAAACTGAAAATGTGGTTATCTTCTTTAAAAACCTCGTTTATAACGGTTAAATTACTTAATTTCCCTTTACTTAAACATATTGAGTTAGGTTGATATCGTAAATATGTTTAATAAACGGGTTGAACTCAAATCAATCCAACTCATTTCTAGTTCAAGTTATCAATTTATTCCCTTACAAATATGTAATCCCCACCTTACCAACGGCTACTTTGTGCATAACCAACAATTATTTTATCCCCGTAGGGAGGAAGGAGTCATAAGATTTTGAAGTTTGGATACCGATGGTACCACCAACATGTGGTTCCGAGTAGTAGTGGTTCCGATGGAACACTTTATTTGATTGAGCGGATTTATCAACGCGCGAAGCTTTGTTGTATTCAATATGCATGTGCCTTTATTTATCGTTTTCTTTTCTTTTCTTTATCTTTTTTTTATAACTTTATGAAAATGAATACTCCACAAGTCA